CTTACACATAAACACACACACACACACACACACACACAGTTCCCCTCTTTCTTTGCCCCTTCCCTCGCCTCCTTCGCCCTCTTCGCGTACGTGCGGTGGCGGTTTCAATCGTTAGCACGCGCCCGCGTACACACATTGAGGTGCGCACGCGCAAACGTCATGGACACTCCAAGTGGTCCATCCTAACCACCCCCCTCCTCTTCCTCCTCTTCCTCCTTCTCCCTCTCCCACCCTCATCTTTGTCTACTGGCTCTTACTCCCAACATAAACTGACTCCCAGAGTCTACATTCCACTGCTCCATACTCCACAACTCTTCCTTGAACTGTGGGTTCAGCTCTTCTTCAACACAGAATTGACTTCCATAATTCCGTGCATAGAGTCATTGTAATGTGGGACTAGCGAAGTTGCCATCGATTCCGTTTCTTGTTATTTCGATCTAATCAATGCTTTTTCTGCCTTTTTTTTTCAACCCAAACAACGCAAATATAAGACTAAAGTATTACGTGCCAGTGAAAAAGCCGGTCAAACTGTCAAACCTTGTCGAAGAGTAATCAAAAAGCCTACGATAGAATCAAATTACAGCCGACTTGATTTGTGGGAGATAAAGTTGCATTAAATCTGGTATTAAGGCAAACTTTCCGTTAGCAAAACCGTTGGAAATTGTGCACACTAGTGGCGTACAAAGCGGAGAAAATTGTGTCAAGTTATGACCTTGTGAACAATTATGGGTCATTAGGATTAATGACTTTATAGCGGAACCCTCGCACACATCAACACTGTGGTTGTGGGAATTGGGCACCGATGTAACTCAAGGGCCTCTTCCAACTGTAATGCGAAATGCTTCAACCCATGAGAGTTTTCAGCCCAAGAGGAACGCGGTGATGAGAATCTAAACCCGACGACAGCCAACTTGGATCCAAGTCCACCGTGCTAACAACACGAACGCAAAAATTTAGGCCACACGCTTGTATGCAGGCGGACTAACGTAAACTTAAATCTCTACAAGGCGAAGACGAAGCAGGAGAGGCAGAAGGAAAGGACGAAGGCGAAGAAGAAGAAGGAGAAGGAGAAAGGAGGAGTGAAGATTCTACTGCGTGCCAAATTTGGCATCAGGAAGAAATAAGGGGAAGGCCAGCTAAAAAAGTGGCCAGGCAGAGCAATGAATCCCAAATAACGCCTTTCGTGCCCACCATTTCTTCCGCGCAAAGCACACACACACACACACAGCCAATGGTTTTCTCGGTATGCGTACCAAAGAGTCTTTATTCGCCTCGACCGACATTCCTTGACAGATCAGCTCCTCCTCTTGCCTCGCCTTCCATCGCAGGCAGGAAGTGGAAAGTCGCAATCATTCAACTGCACTGGGTGGGCTGCACGATTTGGTGATGTGAAGTATCAACAAACATTCATTTCAATCATTTGATCAATAGCTTTGAAGTGTCAACTCCATCCTCTCAAATACTTTTAGAGTCAAGTTCTTCACTATTGCAATTTGAGTGTCAACATTATTTTGTACTTCGTTAGTGCATCCTCACCACGCCGGAACCACTCACTTTACTGCGTTGATCTTTAACGTTGGCGTTGTAAAATAACTGAGGAAGAGTTTGTACGGAAAACCAAATTTTGACTCGGAAGGAAGGGGTTTGCAGTAGGTGATGCAGCGTTCCCAACCTTCGCTGGTCATGAAGGAAGGCATGAACTCACAGAGAGTGGACATTTTCGATATGCAGTCGGACTGAGAGACCAATGCTGTGAACGCTTGCATTCTCCTTTCTTGAGCTCCACTTAATCAGTCTTCCACGCCAGTCGCTGCAGTGTTGACAACGCATTAAGTCATCGAATTAAAGGCGACACTTAGCTGCCAAGCCGCTAATTCTCTTCACAATTCAGCAGAATTTGTTTACCAATTCTGTCAAGGGACAACGAAATGTGGTATTCGTCAGGTAGTCATGGAAGCACCAGCTCGAAAGCAGAATCAAACATTTATGGTGAATCCTAACACAATCACCTTTGAAATTTTTCTCGCCTCAGCACTGTCTCCTTTTACCTACCTGCTCACTACTCAGCCGACAGGGAAGTGGTGGTTGTATTTTGTCTTCACCTGACTGCTATCTTCATTGATATCCCGCAGACAGTTCGGTAGCAAACTTTCCCACATGATTTCCTGCAGGCCACGGGACTTCAGCAGTCGCCGACAGTAAAGTCATTTAAGACCTTCCCACTGTAACCGTCACGGAATCCTTCTTTCGTAGGCTCCAAGCTCCCGTCACGCTAAGTTTTGTCACACACCAGCATAAATAAAAATGCAAGACCATTGATTCCCAGAGAAAGAAAGGCCGAAATTCGTATTGTCGATGTGCAAATTGATTGAAGTTGAAAGTAGTGGCATAAATCACAGGCCAATTTACTTCGCAAGGACTCATTACCGAGAAACCAAGCAATGACTGAGTGGATGCTGAAACGAGGAGGGTTGACAACTCCCATCCCGACATTTCATTCAGCATAATCAGCCGCTCGAGAGAGCACTGCGCCAACGCAACTGTCGATTACGGCGGAATTGAATCAGGATTCAAAACAGGAAATTTAAAGTATCTGCTTGTCGTCAATGGATGACTTGACTCTTTGAAGCTAATGAAGCAGAAGCGTTCATTCATTTGCCCTTGCAGATACCACTTATCAATAACATCATTCCCCACTATTATCCTCAACAAAGATGACTATTTTAATGCCACAAGTGGCTGAAATGAGGTTAAGAATAGAAGAGCAATCCGCAATTCGACATCGCGGTGACAGTATCTTAATGAAATCCCGTTTGACCAAAGAGGATGGCGACCGCCTTGTCAAGTAGGCTTGGTTAAGCCGCAAACAGTCCGCACAATTTGCAGTCGAGAGGTGAGTTGAGAAATCATTCTCTGCCTGCATTGCAGTCCAAATCCCAAATTTGGGAGTATGAAATTTTAGAGATGAATATTGAAACGTAGTCCACTCACGAATTTCTTCAACGTTGACTCAATAAATAAATTGTAGTCGAGGTGGTAAAATTTGCATTGATGATGTCTGAAGTAGTTGTTTTAACCTCTCTCACTGTTAAAAATTATTTTGATGTGCTTTGCTGCAACACCGTCTCGCACAACTGCGCCGCCGAGTTTGCGACGAAGCACAGTTTTATGATCGCAAATAATAAAAGCATGATCGTAGCATTTAGAAACAATTTTACACCGATTTGGTGATTGCAAATGCCAAGATGCGTTCGATAAACTCGGATACATGAAGTTACTACTGTCTTCTTTTGTCTCAACTGCCTAGCACTGTCTATCGCATCGTAGCATCGCACATCAGACGCACGATATCGTATCGTACATTCCCCGCTACGAAAATCCAGCAACTATCCGAACAACCGACCTCAGCACAATTAAAACAGCTCCTTTCATCGAGTCAGTAAAAGCACGATTGGCATGACGTCAAACCCTGTCCCTAAGTCAACTTTTCACCTTTTTGGACTTTGCAAATTGGGACGCGTATTTGGCGGATGGAATTCGTTAATAAAATGGATTGCAAAACTAATCAAACACTTATTTGAAGGCTGCCATCTCCAATCCTGACTACGAACCGATGAATATATTGTTCTGAGAGAAAAACGCCCAATAAACAACAGCGGTCAATTTTTTGCCATCTCAAATGAGGGACTTGATATGCGCCCCCTCTTTGAAAGGTGTGTACCAAGTCTGCACCTCGCAGAGGGCCCCATTTGACAGCACCAATGGGGCTGGTAACCACCTTGAAATGGATGCAATGCACGAAAACTTTGTAGACATGGTGATTACAGAACACCAGGACTCAATGAAGCCCACTTTAGCAGCAATCCAGACGCAAGATTCTATCTCACCATTGGTTACCGATGCTGTGTCCTTATCACTACCAAAGGAAGAGAAAGTATTCGAGTGAGCTTATCAGCATTACTGAAGCATTTAGCGGCGCTATTGTAAAGCACCCAGATGCTCGATAATAACCATTAATTTCTTTCACATTCTGTTTCATTGACCTCTTAACTTGAGGGATTTTGCCAAGCCCGAGACTAATGTTGGTTACATCAGATTTAAGAAACGATTGAGACCTTAAAAATTCACACAGACAACCTGATTGAAAGAAGTGACTACTTGAGAGCCGCCGACGTCTTATCCTTTAATTCCGCTCAACATCTGATAAGCAGGCGAAATGAAGTCACAGCGACCGGACTTCGAGGCCTGAATCAGACCACGCAGCTCTGCTAATCTGTTTAGGTTACGCTCCACGAAAATAGAAACAAACACACCAAATGAACGTCTACACAGGCGTCTGGCCCCTACCTCGGGCAATATCACCATCTCAAAAGCAAGGAACAGCCATGGAAGTGACGATTTTGCTACCACATAAACCTGCAATTTTACCCTGATTTTTTGATGTCACGCTGCACAGCCCCTAAAAACCCCTTCTTGAACGCAATTACGGAATAGCCGGCAACAGTGAAGGAAAAACACTTTCGAGTCCCATGCACAACTGCTCTCATTGATTTGTATCAATTGGGAGGAGGCAAATAGCTAAATGCTACTGAGAAGCAAAAGGCGGAAGTTGTATAAAATACTTAGTTTTTGTTTATGTACTGTATACATAGAGGGAGAGCAGTGATAGTATTACCAATAATGACTACGCTCAAGTACACACTAGTGAATGGTTGAGTGGGTGGCCAGGTCAATTCGACATAGGGCGGGTGGGGAGATGGAGAAAAATGCATTCACACAATCACCCAACCTGTGCCCTATGCAATCGTGAATACAGGCACGAGGAAAACAAGTAAAACAACAGATTGTCGGGTCCACTAGTGATGGAAAGGGACAGAAAGTGTTGCAATGATTTGTGAAGACACACGGATAAGACAGAGTAAGAAGGGGGAGCAAAGCACAGAAACCGCGCTCACACACACACATACAACCAGATTCTACACTATGGGAGGGTTTTGTTGTTAAAAAAGATCAACGGGTGGCTCAGTTGGGTGAGTGGTGCACCAGGATACCATCGAACAGGGAGTGTCTGGAGCTAAATGCAAAAGTTCAGGGAAGTTAAAAACCGTTGTGATGGAGGTGGTGTCCGTGTGCGTGTGTGCGGATGCATGTGCGTGGAGGCCAAAAAACGGGAAGTGTTGAAGGACCTGGAGAGGAAGAGAATGTACAGGAGGCCAATGTGAAACCGCCCACTCCGACAACAAGGGAGCGGAGACATGAAGGATAAATACGCCGTCGCAAAGCACCGTCAAAACCACTTTCATTACGCTACCTTCAAAGCCATGAAGGTCTGCACCCTCAGGGTTATGAGATCGGGTTGAATGTGTATTCTTGCTACAAGGAAGGAAGGTCAGAGCCTTTAGAAGATAATTTCAGGAAGACAGATGATGCTTTGGATTTAACAAACCAATTCCGTAGTTAGGTTAATAAAATGAACTAGTTCAACAAAATGTTTGAGAAGTGGTAACTGATGCCTCGGAAGAAATGAAAGGAGGAAATACTGAGTAATGTCATTTGGAGGCGAATGAATGGGGAGACAAGTTGCTTGCGGACAAAATGGCATGGCTGAAGTTGTCAGCTCCTATCCAACGCCACCACCCACATTCCTTCCCTCTAATTAACACGCGTATGCAAGCGAACGCACAAATCCCCGTGAGCCAGCACTAGCCCACACTTGCACGTGCGCAC